CACTTAACCCTGAAAACTGCATCTTTCTGGATCTATTTTCTAGTAACCTCCAACTTTTTTGGGGTTATTAGAAAATTGGAGGTTAAGTGAGATTTCCAATTTTTTGGGGGTGATCTTAAACTGGGCCAAACTTGTTGGGGGTTTTTGTGAAATTTACCCGCAACTGAAACTGAAACCAATATATACTGGCCTCGTACCTTTATTCTTCTCTGTTCTCACATATACTCTCTACGTTTATGTTTCTTTATTGTACTCATTCCTGTATTTCTTTTCTATTTTGACGATACCTGGGGATCAAGTTTTGCTTTATCATGCATATGCTCCACAGTAAATTAGTTTTCTTCATTGAGGATTCTACTGTTTCTCTGAATATTTTGTTACCTTTCTTCTTTCTAGTCATACTGAACAATGCGTTGCTATCCTTGAAGAGTCAGTAAGTACCCTCCTTAACTGTTTAGAGATGGTGGACACCGACTTAATTAGAGGAAATGCTACTTTTCTTGGGAACGGAGAGGCAATAAAATGTGCAAGTTATCTGCAGGAGAATTATGAGGAGGTTTGTAGTGTTTGAATAATGTGGTTAAGTCTTTCATATCTTTTGTTTCTTATCCACCCATAGATGTTTCTCATAATGCTGATCTTTAATGTTTTATTTTTTATTAACGGCATGTTTATCCTGAACTATTTTGTTTTCATTCATGCCTGGAGGTTTCACATAAGGTTGATCTTTAATATTTTGACATGCTTGCCCTTGAGGAGGCTATATGGTTATCTTAGGCTTGTAACTAAAAGGAAATATCTGTCACTTATGTCCAATCTATCAATGTATTAGAGTAGTGCAGCTTGTCATCTTTTGATTTCTGAATAATATCATCATTATAATATTTCCTCTATCAATCTCTATTCTTTTAAATTTTTGGGAAAACAATTTTAGCTGATAGGAACAAAATTAAATCTCATTATTAATGCATCCACAGCAGAAGTCATATGGGGTTTGAAATTTAGCAAAGCATGGATTCAGTAGACTGAGACACGACCTTCTCAAAGTGAGATACAGTTGTTAATACTTAATACTACTTTAAATTGTATGTTCAGGTTTAATTAATAGCCCGAAGGGACCCTTCTCTAGGGCTCAAGTGAACCATGTAAGCCAGTGACCTACACCAACCCTCTATCTAATATGTATCCAAGTCACCTAACCACAACTAAAATCTAGATTCACTGAGCTTGATGTCTTCCATTATCCATACATGGACCTATATCAGGTGCTCATGAACTGAAACCCAATCTGATGGAAACCCAATGTAATATGAGAATATGAACCAACAAATATAGCTAAAAAGTAGGGGTCTATTCTGTTTAGAACACAAACTACTATGTATTGTAGCTGAAGAATGTGAATTCGAAGGCCAAATCTTGCCCATTTAAATATATGGGAACTGTAGATGGCGGCCATAACTAATGAATGGAAAAGTATAGTTTTGGTTGGTTTTGTTGTTGAGGTTAGCCCTAAGTAGAGATACACTATATGCTTAAAGAAATAAGGGCCTAAACATCTTTATTCAAAGTCAGATAATACAGTTAATGCCCATGATAACAACAGCTATATTCAATAAACCTATTGTGTAGTTATCTTCAATCCATTAAAATTTGTCTTTGCATGTCTGGTTGATGTGTTCATGTAAAAGCTTGATGTGTTCATGTAAAAGCTTTACTTTCACAAACAATTATATTTCCATAGAATATCAGATGCGTTACAAAAGCAATCATATGTTTTCTGTTTTGCATTTAAATTTATTTTATATAATAGAAGTTCATTTTTTGGCCTCATAACTTTGTAGATAAGAAATGAAAAGGATGTGTTTGCGGAGCACTCATCATACTTTCTGTCCAATTACATCTCCATGTACTCTGGCTGTGGTCCCCTGAAAGGAGGAATCAAAAGGTCAGTTCCTTTTTCCTTATGCAGTGCTTTGACACTGCCATGGCACATGCACAAACACACAAAAAAGAAAATGGAAGGGGAAAAAAAAGAAAACAAAGATAAGGGAGTACACCGATCAGATGTATAACTATGGTTACCCATACACAGTTTAATTTTTTCAGCAGAAATTTAACATGCGGCTTTCTCATGCAGAGAGGTAGATGAAGCATTGAGACCTGGTGTATATTCCTTAATTGACGTATGCAGAAAAAGTGATTTTAAACGTCTCCACACTTCTTTTGGTGGTAAGTTACTTTTTAGTTAATAAGACAAAATACTAGGCTGCTGGAAATCATTTGTTCTTGTTTCCAGCAGGTGCTTAAAAAGTTACTGGTTTTGCTATTTTTGCAGAGGGCCCCTGCAGAAGTACTCTCAAGACTTTGTTACATGATTTTAATGTAAATTTTAAGTATAAAGGGAAAATCTAATAAAAAGGAGTCTTTGTCACGAGTTGGAATCGGCCAAAGCATCAGCTCATCTACTTCAAAGCTTATAGGGTTGGAAATGCTTTTAGTGCCAATGGTGAAAAGATCATAAGGAAACGTCATAGCTTGTTTCTGTAGACTAAAGAAGAATTCAGGTTCTTACAGAGCTAATTTCAGTGCAATTATATTTTTGCACATTGAATGAATCATGTTTTTGGGAGCTAATTTCGATATGATTACGTTTTGCACATTTGAATGAATTGTGCATTTCTAAAACTGATGTGCATTTTTGCAATGTAGCTTGAGACCGGATACATCAAGATAATTAATTGACCCAGCTGGATTAAGAATTTGAAGAAAACTGGTATGGAGCTTCTCTTTGTACCCTATGTGCAATACATTTACTTCAGCATAATGCTAATAGGCTCTATTTGTGTCGTCTCCGATCCTCAAATATTTTAATCACCATAATGCGAAATAGGCTCTCCTTGTGTTGTCTCTGATCCTCAAATGTTTTAATCAGTTCAGATATCAAAATAGTGTCCGTAGTTTTAATGGGCACCTTGAGTATGTCTATATGAGTTGGAGGGTATTCTTTAACATATAAGCACATTTGTCGTGGTTCGGCAGAATATGTACTTAAAGATATTGTGAGAATAGACGTTCACTTACTATGATCAATTAATAGCACAGCTAGCTTAAAAAACCAAAATAAGTTTTGATTAAGCAGCAGAAGATAATTTCCTTCTGATAAATCACCTTATCATATTTTTTGACATGCGCAATTTCATACCTTATTAAAGAAGGGTTAATTGCAGATAGGCCCCTTGTAGTATCACCTAATTGCGTATACCATGTAGTTCTAATTGTGTCTCATGATTTTTTTTTCCTTTTTTTTACCCTCGTAAAAGAGTCAAAAAAAAGTTATGTAGATGGGGATAAAGCCACTGCAATTCTATTGGTGCGGGTAGACACCCAAATGCTATACTTTTTTTACTCTTAAAAGAGTCAGAAAAAGTTCACTTTGGGGAACTATTCGCACACTCGGGCAGATAGTACAGAGTGTCTATCCGCAATTGGGCGTTACTACAGGGGATTTATCCGCAACTAACGAATAAATTTTCAAAACAGCCCCATTTAGAGTTTTATTTTTCAAAATTGACCGTTTATTTATTTATTTATCAAAACCGACCCGATATTGTGATTAACCGGCTAATCACCTTCCTAAATAGTCGGGGTTGGCAACCCCGACTATTTAGGACCTTAATTTTTAGTGTTTAAGGCATCTAATCAGGGTTTAATACCCTCCTAAATAGTCGGGGTTGCCAACCCCGACTATTTAGGATGGTGATTAGGCTGCTAATCACAAAATCGGGTCGGTTTTGATAAATAAAAAAAATCGGTCGATTTTGAAAAATAAAACTCTAAAGGGGTCTGTTTTGAAAAATTGTTCGCAACTAACCCTATTAAGAAACTTCATGCTACGTATTTGCAAGCTTAAGAATTTTATCTGTACATTTACATCAGAGTAAGTTGAGTTAGCATTCCCACTTACTGATATGCTTCTCTTAGTTTGTGGCCAGAATAGTGCTGGTCAAAAACATTATTTCTGCCTTTTTTTTCTTGAACCCCAGGCAATTAGCCAGCATTTTTATTACTTACAGAACTCATCCCACCCCAACAATCAGCCCTTCTGCGTGCATCTGGGCTTTAGACAACCTCACAGAACTGTAATAGATGCAAATAATCTAAGCGAAATTCGGTTTTGTGTCTGCATCTGTACTATTGATATCTGTATCCCCGTCAAAACATGGATATTGATATGAGTAAGTTCTAAAACCATCCAAAATTTTAGAATACACATCTGATGAACAGCACGTGCAATTGAATACAACTGAAGTCCATTAGGTGTTGTATAATGGAGCATTCTTGCTGGAATATATTCAAATTTCAAAGTTGAACTCAAATTTCTTGTAAATCTTTAGGCATATATCAGGTGGATCCAAATTATAATTTTTCCTGTCGATAACTGGATAGCAGTTCAGCATCCGATCAATATTTGTTTTGTATCCTTATTAAAAAAAAAGCAAAAATACCGTACGACCACTCTTCCATGAGTAACTGCTTTCTTTTACATCCTAATGTCTCTGATGGTAAGACTTGGAAAGCTTTCTCTGCATTAAAGTTTTCACATTCAAACGTATTGTTTTGTATCAAGCATATTGTTATTGTCACTACAAAATTGATCTGCCCTTCAAAAATTTATCCTAATTCTTTTTCCCCCCAATGTAATTAGTAGGAAAAGGATGGAAGGGGTCTAAAGAAGATATTATGGGCTTCAATTCATGTTACCTCAATCAAAGCAGACCATAGAAGACAAGACACAATTTTCCCTCTTGCTTGAGCTCTGCTCCTTATGCTTCTTGCAGGGTGAAGCCTCCACAAGAGTAAAAATACTAATCTTATTCTCTTTATATAGCGAAAGAGAGCGCGGGTTAAATTCATAGGAATGGAGAAACATAAGTAAGAGGCTCTCTAGTTTCCTTTTTTCCCGTCATCGCTATGCTTCTTTGCATGTAACATTAAGGTTATAATTAAAGCCCTCATATTATCAATGATGTTTATCTGATGACCGTGTTAGCTTCTACTATTCCTATTCCTAGGCATGCATAGGGTTTGTTGTTATAAATAGCAAATAAATGAATAAATAATTGTTAGTTTGTGCTTGTATGTCTTAAGACTTCTGTTCATGTTCTGTTTTTCATTAGTAGCATGGTCATTCTATAATTTCATTGCTTAGCTACTGTTTTCCATCTATGTATGTAATTTGTCGCAAAGATTTAACATTTTAAAACCATCTGCAATGCTTCTTATTACTGAACTCGAAATCGAAAACCGAAAACTTGAAAGTATTTGATTTTTCACAGCTGCGTGTTAGATAACAGTTCATAAATTGTTGAACACTAATTTGTGTAGGTACTGATGTTCGATGAATGTTAGAGCTTACATGGCCTAGCCAAGAAGCCTTTCCATTAGTTAGCATAAGCTTATTATGAAGTGTGCTGAAATAAATGCTATTATTCAAAATAGGAGAAAATAATTCGTTCAATTTCTTCGAGTATGCGGTGTTACATGTCTTGTAAAATTAGTCTCATTTTATCACTGCTGTAATGGGTCTAACAAACAAATACAGCATTGCATTAACTTATTTTAACTCTCAAAAGGAATTCATGTCTTGGCGGTGGGAATGCACTGAATCAGGATAAAAGAAAATAACTATCCTTGGTTGATCACTAACCCCACCAGGATTAGTACATTGGACAAAATATCAGATTACAAGGCTGATAGCAATTCCGTTGATTTGAGGACGTTGTTTTTAAATACCCCTGACAAGATTGATTTATCAATCCATATGTGTTTTTATATGACTTACCATAAAACAATATGGTTTTGTAAAGTTTTTGGGAAAAGTTCTAGCTCTATGAAGTTCTAGCTTCTAATAGGCTATTATCCCTAAGTAAGTGTCTGTAATTGGTTAGTAATCCTAAATATATTTGTATTTTTGTGTACTTATATTTAGTTATGCTTATATTAGGATAGTATAATATAGGGCAAATTCTCAAAATAGATCATATTAGTAATTTATTTTTAAAAAACGACTCATTTGAGATTTAATTGCCATTTTCGACCTAGTTTTAGCCACCTGGCTGAAACTGGATCGAAAATGACAAATAAAGTTGGAAAACTTTACGGGATTTAAAACCCTGTAAAGTTTAGTGCATGATTAACCATGCTAATGAAACTGTAGAAGAAATACATCCAAACTTCACGGGATTTTAAATCCCGTGAAGTTGCAGACTCATTTTTACAGAGAGCTTTATACGAGCTCTCTGGCAGATGCCCCCTGCAACTTCACAGGATTTCATATCCTGTGAAGTTTGGTTCTAGTTTCAGATGGCGTAGATTATTTCTTGAGTAGGATGAGTAATTTATCGACTAAACGTCACGAGATTTTAAGTTCCGTTAAGTTTTCAAACTTTATTTACCATATTTCGACCTAGTTTCAGCCAGGTGGTTGAAACTAAGTCGAAAATAGTAATTAAATTTTAAAGGGGTCAACTTTTAAAAATAAATTTCTTCTAATTTGAAAATTTGTCTTGTAGTATATATATATATATACATCTTTCGACAGAGCACTTCGGTATATACTATATATCTCTGGTATTTTTTAATATCTGCAAGATGTTATGGATTTTGGTTGCTTGATGTTTTCCTAATATCTGACATTTAAAACAGTGTTTGAAGGACTAATTTTAAAATAATATAATTCAAAGGAGTAAATATCGACAAACCTCTTTATTATTATGTAGGGAGGGCTCAAGAAGCTTGTTGGATGACCATTCTTTGTGTTACGCATTTAAATTAGTTACTTTTAAGTCATGCAAATGCATGAAAAAGATGTAATCCGAAGAACCGTTCTGCATAGGGGAACATACGATATGGATATGACCCAGAGATATGATACTTGTCATATTTGTATCCTCTTCCTAATCACGGATACAAATATGCCTATGGAAGTAAAATTTATATCCATATCCACTAAAATCGAATATATGATCATATATAATATATATATATACATAACTATATATATATATTATATAGTATATATATATATAATATATATATATGAAGATAATGGAGGTGAGCGTGGGCAGCCTCACCTCTCCCCCCACTGAAGCTTGCAAGCCTGTAGACATGTGAGCCCCCACCACCGATGATGACGTAGTAGGGCGGGGCTCACAATGTCATACACTTGCAGTTCACGGGGGAGTGAGCTGCCAGCTCAACCTCCATTATTCTCATGATAGTAATATACTATATATATATATATAGTACGCTATATATATATATATAATATATATTATATATAGAAATATGAGTATGTTTGGTAAAACCATAAAAAGGTTGTGCTTGGTAGTGAGGTGTCCAAATCCCGGCATATGCAAGCAGATACAAAATGATTAGAAAACTAGATAACATTGAAGAAAGAAAAAAGTATTGTTCATATGATACAAGAGAGTTCACCTTATATCTGAAAAGCTAAGACTAAATATCTTGATCATCAAAATTAACTTAGAATCAATTAATATAAGGATTAAAACTGTTGCAATAGTATAGCCAATATATGCTCGAATATCTTGGATACGGATCTTGATATTTCATTACATAATCATATCCGGAATCATATCTATCGATCATAAATTTTAGTAACTATATCCATATTTCCACCTACCCCTACCGCTGCAAGTGTGCTTTCGAACTTCAAAATTTTCTTCCTTCCGCGTGAGGGTTTAGGAGATATATATGAGGATTTTCTACAAGAAGACAGAAAAAATAATTGCTAAGTCTAGTCAAATAGTTTTTTTCAAACCTAGTTCAACATAATCTACCAATGGAAACATAAAGTTGGATCCACTAGCAGTTTCTTCTGTGTTGCTCTTCTTATCGTATCGCACCGAATTTGATCTTACGAATTTAAGCGGTGAAGAGTTAAAAAGCAAAAACAAAACAAAATTTGAATCACATTCTTCTTTTGCTACCAAATCCAACGCAACTGCATAGAATCAGATCAAATTCACCAATACTAACTCCAATATCTACCTTGAAAAGAAAGAAAATAGATGAAAACAAGCATGAAAACAACGTTATCCAATAAATAATTAATTTGTCTTTAATCACATTCCGTTTCAGTGGTTTGAATCACATTCCGTTTCAGTGGTTAGATACAACGTTATCCATAAAATTATTAGTCCTTTTTCTATAGTTCTGCGTCACATTTATGTATTTTTGCAGGATATGTAGCCTTTATGTGTGTTTTAATTTTCAGTATGCTCTTTTGACAGAAAACTGATGGCTTCTGGGCTAAATAGCAAAACATCAGAAATTAGGGGTTATCATCATCATCGCCGCTAGCAGCAGCAGCAACAACAACAACAAAAGGAAGATGAAGAAGAATAAGAAAATTTATATAAATAAACCCTTAATAGCGATATCGCAATTTTTCCATTAAGCTCCTATTCGATTATGCAAACATTCTTTACACTTTTTACTTTTCTGCAGAAGCCATTGAAAGTACTGATATCAAGGGCAATTTAATAAGCAAATATGTCAACGAATATACAATTTTTTTTTCTTTTTAAAGAACTGATGCTTGCTTTTTGGATTTGAGTCTTTTAAATTAATGAGCCATCGTAGAGGAGGATCACTTTACTTTGGTCTTTGGCCGTTGAGAGTTAATAAGCCAATCTTTTTCTTTTAACGGCGTTACTTTGTACTTATTGTGTGTTTGGTAGATTGCAACTATAGTTACAATACAACTATTAGTTACATGCAACTAAGATGTCTCGCATGCAGTTGTAGTTACAACTGTTTGATTAGAATTTTAAATTTTACATCTTGTAGTTAGAATTATTTGGTACTACTCAACTTTTTTCGCATGCAATTTGTTTCTTTTAACAAATTAAAAAAAAATTATTAGTTAATCTTATATTTTTTTAAATATTCTTTTACTTCAAAAAATAATGTTTTTTTACTTTTTTAATATATATATATATATATATAATTATACTTTCACAGCTTATATAAGTATATTTAGTACCATATACATATATATATACTATATATATATATCATTGAGAGAGAGAGAGAGAGAGAGAGAGAAGAGAGAAACTTATGTCAACTTTACAGTGAACGATCCACTAAAGTTTCTTAGTCATTGATGATCACCTTGATTGAGCTACCATTGTCGGAAATGATCGTTCCGTTGAACTTGATCTACATATTACTAAAACCAACATGCCAATTTGGGGTGAACCCGTCGTGGTTTGCCCTCCGTCGAGCCATGTAAAAAATTATATTCAGACAGTTAAAATTGATAGATGGATGAATGGTTCAAACACACGACGGGTTCACCGGCCAAATTTGGTGTGTTGGGATTTTAGAATATGTAGTATCAAGTTCAACGGAGCGGATCATCTATAATGTTAGCCCAAATCAGTGATCATCAATAACTAAGAACTTTAGTGGACGTTCACCTTAAGTTGCACATAAGTATATATATATATATCATATATATATTATATATACCTATAATATATATATATCGTATCGAGAGGAGAGAAGAGAGAGAGAGAGGAATATGGGTATCGCTTGGTACCAAGTATAAATTTTGTGCTTGGTACCGTGAGGGTAGGCAATCAATCACCTCCACGGGTCATTCAAATGGAGACCACATTCACATGAGATACTACAATATTTGAATGATGGAAGATTATGTCACCTCACTACAAGCATAACTTTTTGTGCTTGGTACCAAAGTAATCACCGCCATTTTTCGTGCATATATCATATATATACTATGCAACTACTATATAAATAGCTAGTACTATATACTATAGTAACTACTACTACTATAATATACCTAAATAAGTACTATATACTAGTACTATATATGATAATACCTATATATTACACGTAGGCTAATACTGAATATACTATATACTATACAACTATTTGAATGAGTGGAAGGGCATTCATGTTCACCTCACTACCCAAGCAATAACTTTTTTTGCTTGGTCCACAAGTATCACCATGTTTTCTCCCATATACTTACGTGTATATACCTTAAATATAATGTATATATATTATATACTATATAGTATACTCATATACATTCATAGCTACAGCGAGAGAGAGAGAGAGAGAGAGAAATATGCGGTATCCGCTTGGTAACCTGAAGCACAAAAAAGTTGATGTTTGGTAGTGATGTGTCAAATACGCCCTCCACTCATTCAAATGTGCGGAATAATTCACATGGTAGTGAGGTGGATTGAGAATGTGACAACATCACTACCCAAGGCATAAAATTTATGCTTGGTACCAGCACTACTTCTATATACTATTATATCATATATATACTAGGTATATGATTATTATACTAGCTAGATATACTATATAATATATATATGATATATACGTATAACTAGTTACACTATATTGTGTGTGTGTGTGTGTGATAGTGAAAACTTGTGTCAACTTAAAAGTGGATATGGGACATAAACGTGTGTCCGCGCGGGCAAGTTTTTTACCCAGCTCAATGATTGCCTAGGGCTCCTTGTATTATATAAAAATGTGCTTTATCATTAATAGACTGGTGTGCTTAGGAACTTTGGTAGACCATCAACTTAAGTTGATAGGAGTGTTGCTATCTACGGTATATATAGTATATCTAGACCTAATAGCTATAGTATATATAGTAGTTATATAAAGTAGTAGTGCCTAATATACTATATATAATTATATATCTTAGCTAGCTATATATATACTATATACCTAAGGAAAAACTATGTCAACCTTAAGTGGACGTCCATCCCCCTAAGTTCTTAGTCATCTGATGATCACTTGATTAGGCTAGAATTGGTGGATGATCAGCTCCGTTGAACTTGAATCTTACATATTCTAAAACTCCAAACACACCAAGATTTGGGGTGAACCCATTCGTGGTTTTGATCCTTCCATCCACCTCCGTATGCCAATTTTAACCGGTTTTTGAATAATAGAATTTTGTACCATTGGCTCGACGGGGGTCAAACAATGCAGGGTTCACCCTAAATTTGGTGTGTTGGTGTACAACCCCAAAAAATTAAATACTGTTTCCGTAATAAATAATAGATAAATATGTTTTTAAAAATATTATGAATATGGATATTTATTAATGTTTGACTATGCTAGGAATTGATGTTGGATCAATTCAATTAACTGTGTGAATATAGGAAGTGATCATCATAGCACAGTCGCACGAGCCTCGATCTGAGAAAAACAACCCAGTTAGAAATATATGCACTTTTACTCAGATGTGTCTGGAATTTGGATAAAAGCTTAAAAGATGAAAGTTTGTAGGTCTCTTCAAGACTTTCAAGCAGTCTTAACATCACGTCATTCCGAGGTCATTACGTGAAAGTTATGACCGCAAAATACTAACATGTTGTTTCTAGTTTTTTTTTTTTTCCAGTTTCGGTTTTGGTTTCGGTATTTCGGGTTTGACCCGCTCATCATAACCTAGTACTCTACACCGCCCGAAAAAATGGGACCACTGCCCCCCCCCCCCCCTACGCCCCCCCCTCCCCCCCCCCCAATTCCTTTCTGCATCAGATCTTAGAAACCCTACCTCTCTCCTCCTCCATCTCCGAACCCTCAGATCCCGTTCTTGGCGATGTTTGGGGGAATTTGCGAAGGATTTACACCAAGGATCTTTGGGTGCGTGTACGAAGGAGGATCAATTTCTCGCAGGTTTAGGAGTTTTGCAGCACCATCAGAGACGAAGTAATATCTCGCCCAGCCCTAACACTCAGCTGTTTGTATGATTTTGATTGAGTTTTATTTCAGATTTTTTGACCCTAATCCATTATTTTGTGTATAGGTAAGATCTTTATGGCCATAGTGATGCGCAAATCAAATTTTCAGTTTAATAAAAGGCTCACCAACCGCTTTGCTTTAATGAAGATCTAAGATTGAAATTCGTTGAAACATATGTTAAACACAATTTTGTTGCTTTTAAACGTTTTAAACCCATGTGTATCACCGTATGCGTGTAGGACTTTGATTGATGTTTTTACATGATAGAATCTGCCTTTCATAGTCGCTCTTCAATATATGTATGACGATTGTGATCGGGTTGTGCATGTGGAAGACATGATGTGTGGCATTTAGAAATTTGTTTCGAAGCAGAAACAACAAATCTTGTGAATGTGGTCTCCATTTGAATGACCCGTGGAGGTGATTGATTGCCTACCCTCACGGTACCAAGCACAAAATTTATACTTGGTACCAAGCGATACCCATATTCCTCTCTCTCTCTCTTCTCTCCTCTCGATACGATATATATATATTATAGGTATATATAATATATATATGATATATATATATATAGAAAAACTTATGTCAACTTAAGTGGACGTCCATTAAGTTTCTTAGTCATTGATGATCACTTGATTGAGCTACATTGTGGATGATCCGCTCCGTTGAACTTGATCTACATATTCTAAAACTCAAACACACCAAATTTGGGGTGAACCCATCGTGGTTTGATCCTTCATCCACTCGTATGAATTTTAACGGTTTTGAATAAATAGAACTTTTTACATGGCTCGACGGAGGGTCAAACAATGACGGGTTCACCCTAAATTTGGTGTGTTGGTGTAAAACCCCAAAAATTTAAATATTTTGTAATAAATAATAATAAATATGTTATATTATGAAATATGATATTTATTAATGTTTGACTATGCTAGGAATTGATTTGAGATCAATTCAATGTATATGTGTGAATATAGAAGTGATATCATGCACAAGTGCACGAGCCTGAATCTGAGAAAAACAACCAGTTAGAAATATATGCATTTTACTCACAGATGTAGTTGGAATTTGGAAAAACTTAAAAGATGAAAGTTGTAGGTCTCTTCAAGAGCTTTCCAACAAGTCTTACATCACCTCATTCCGAGGTCATACGTGAAAGTTATGACCAAAATACTAAATGTTGTTTTCTAGTTTTTTTTTTCCAGTTTCGGGTTTGTTCGGATTTCGGGTTTGACCGCTCATATACCTATCCTACCCGAAAACACCCCTCTTCTCATCAGATCTTAGAAACCCTAGCCTCTCTCCTCCTCTCTCAAACCCTAGACTCCGTTCTTGGCGATTTTGGGGGAATTTCGAAGGATTTACACCAGGATTTTGTGGTGCTGTCGAAGGAGGATCAATTTCTCGCAGGTTTAGGAGTTTTGCAGCACATCAGAGACGAGTAATATCTCGCCCAGCCCTACACTCACTGTTTGTATGATTTTATTGAGTTTTATTTCAGATTTATTGAGCCTAAATCATTATTTTGTGTATAAAGGTAGATCTTTATGGCATATGATGCGAAAAATCAAATTTTCAGTTTATAAAAAGCTCACCAACGCTTTGTTTAATGAAGATCTAGATCTGAAATTCGTTTAAACATATGTTAAATCACAATTTGTTGCTTTTAAAACGTTTTAAACATGTGTATATATGCGTGTAGGACTTTGATGATGTTTTTACATGATAAATCTCCATTTCATAGTGTTTCATATATGTAGAATCTGTGATCTTGTGCATGGGAAGACATGATGTTGATTTAAAATTTTGTTTCGAAGCAGACAAAATCTGTAGAGGGTTTCTGCCTGTTTCACGGTCGATGGCGGTGGACACGGCGGTCGATCGCCGTACTATTTGTGCATGTATTTGCTATTTGTGTAAAAAAATTATGATTTAACGAGTATTCTCGTATATCTGATGTTATGATTTATTGTATATCGTGATTCCTACACATGTGGTAACCTTGCGGACACAAATTTAGATTTGAACACCGAGACACGTGCAAAATTAGTGTATGTGCATCTCTTCATATACCTCATCGATATTTTACACATTTCATTCAGTCCATGTATTGGGCAATTATCATTTTTAGTCCATGTGTTGGACATTCACCATTTAGTCCATGTGTTGGACAAATATTATATGCAGTTCATGTGTTGGGCAATTATCATTTTCAGTCCATGTGTTGGACATTCACCATTTAGTCCATGTGTTGGACAGTTATTATATGCAGTCCATGTGTTGGACATTCACTTCATTTAGTCCATGTGTTGGACACTTGTTTAAATCATGAGTATGAAATTTACACTTACATAGGCTGGACATGATACTTATGTGGGTTTTGACATGACACGGTATTTTAAGTTCTGAGATGGGTTTGTCTTCTTTTATTATTATTCTTGTATTAGATTTTGGGTTTGGTATTTAGGGATTTACAATTTGAGCTATAAGGTATATACATGAGGGTTTCCTTGTTTGGATTATGCTCGACGTACCTATGCTCGTGTTGTAATTTCCTAAGTACTAAAACCCTCTTATCATTAGGGATCTACAATTTGAGCTACAAGGTATATACATGAGGGTTTTCTTGTTTGGATTATTTCGCTCGACGTACTTAAGCTCATGTTGTAAGTTCCTAAATAGGATCGGTGATTATATATATATATCCTAACTAAATATAGTAGTATATATCTACACTAGTTATAGTATGTCACGTATATTATCCGGTCATAGGTCCTAAGGTACGGTACGCTATGACTACTAGCTACTATATGGATATACACATATGCTATCACTGTATTTTTCTTAAAAATACGACGGCCCTTGACGCTCGTTGTCCCTCCCCCTTTCAGGTAACGAGCCAGGAGCCCGGTGAGTCGCAGGTTGATGGCGATGCACTTTAGCTTCAGCCGTTTATTTTAGTTATATTTTTCTTTTGAACTCCACTGTAGATTGTTGTTAGACATCTGAGAGTTTATTCTAGAAGTTGTAAAGGATTTGTGTCTTATTTCCTTTTATTCAGACATTTGTATTTGAGACTTGTTGAGAAGTTCCAGCTTATTCATTTCAGACATTGACTTGTACTTCAGTATGTTAGATGATGAAATATCAATTTGATCTCTATTATTTCATCAGTTGACTCTTGTATTATCTTTTACTTGCTTTTGTACCTACACCTGTTATTAACTCTACTAGAGAGATAGTAATTTTGTGATGGTGAATATGCTTTTGAGGGTGTTGGCTGGCTGACAGGGTTTGACCATTCTTGTTTTACCTTGAAGCTGCAGTTTGTGTGAACGAGGGCGTCAGAGTTTGGGGTTTTTAGAAATGTAGTATAAGTTAAGTCGAGGATCTCCCCAAATGTAGCCATGAAGGTGATCATCAATGACTAATAGATTAAAAGTGGTAGTCGCCCTTAAGTTGACTCCAAGTTTCATATATAAGTATATATATAGCCTATATATAATACTATTATATATCAATTATAGATATGAAGCTATATATATATTATATATT